TTTCCCTTTTGTGGGAACTAATGATTTGCAGGAGTAAGGTGGTGCCTGTTTTAATTCAGCGAGGTCGATTTCGACCTCTTCGAATTCGAATTCAGGATAATCTTCTGCTTCCTCAGTTCCAACATAGAAGATCCTTTCCTTCTTGTTATTTTTAAAGACTCTGGCCTTTTCGGCCTTTAGCCTTTCGACCTGTCGAACCCTATCGACTAATTGAGCCATATCCCTCAAGTATTGAGTGTCTAATTTCTTTCGAATAGAGTAATCCAGGCCGCCAGCAGCCATTTCGACTAACTCATGTTCAGGCACTACTGTAAAGCATCTAGATTTCAAGAGCCTGAATCTATTCAGATAATCATCTATGGGCTCAGTGAACTTCCTCTTGACACTGGCTAGTTCCTTCAGACTGATTTTTGATTGTCCCATGTAGAACTGTTCATGGAATAATCTCTCCAAAAGAGCCCAAGTATCAATGGACCCAGGAGGCAAAGTGATGAACCATGTGAAAGCGTTCTTAGTCAGGGAACTTGGGAAATATTTGATTCTGAGGTCTTCATTATTGGCTATATCTCCTGCTTCGGTTAGATACCTGGCTATATGTTCGACTGTTGATTCATTGGTATCCCTAGCAAACTTTGTAAACTTAGGGACTTTATATCCCCTTGGTAAATCAGTGTGCATTATGTAATCTAATATAGGGGAGGCATAATTTGGCCTTCTAATTCCTGTGTTGAGGCCATTTTGGGCCATGATTCTCTCTATCATGGTGGTTAAATTATTTTCTGCCAAGATGTTATCGTTTCGAATTCTATAAACGACTGCATCAGCATCTTGATTTCGACCCACCATGACAACCCCTCTAGGTTGTTCTTCTCGAAACTCTTGGACTTCTAGCCTTTCGACCCTTGCCCCTGGTTCCATAATTTCCATTTGTGGGCCTTGGATCATTGGGGCTTCTAGCCTTTGTGCCCTTGCCCCCAAATTAACCTCCTCTCTGGCTGGTCTATAGGGTGGGTCGTTAGCAACTTGTTCTATAATAGGTACGTTCGCTCGAACTCCCACCTGATTCTGCCTACGCCTCTCTGGGGGAGCGAAAAAATCTACTATTCGACTCATATTATCTGCGTTTTCTCTGTTTGTCACAGTCACATTTTGTACTATTGGGACAAATATCTCCTGCATAGTTTGTGCTAATACTCCTATCATATTATGGTTACTGTCATCCATCAATTGCCTAAAAGCCAACTGATTTTATGTGGTTAAGATAGGCATTGCACTATAGCCCACTGACCCTTGGTTATTTGTCATAAACTGATTTTCCCCAGACCCAGACTCTAATTGTGGTGATGAATTCGATGTGGAATTGTGTAAGCCTGCCATAAAAGATGTTGGCATTCCATAAGAGGAATTTCTGGTTCTATTACCATCGAAATCGGGTGGTCTAGTTAGTGGGGTGGCGAAATGGGTTTGTGTCCCTGATGGTGGGACGAATCCCCCAGGATAACCAATGGTTCCAGTGTTTCCTGGGATCGAACTATTAGTTGACATGCCACTTATTCCATTAGTGGCTATATTACTGGTAGAGGATGCAACAGATTGTGCATTCGAAGGGGTCACATTAGATGTTCCCATCGAGGCGGACATATTAGTGCCTGTTGTATGTGGGATATTTTGTTCCCCTTATTGATTGTCAGAATTAGACATCTTGTTTAAACGTTTTCTTCTGGATAAGGGTTGGTTACTATTGGTTATTCTACCACTTCTAAGGTTCATAAAACAACAAACTTATCACTCAGAGGGTATTTTTACAATGGTTACGTCTCAACAATTTTTTATTCTGTTCTAAATTTCGCAATGGCCAATGATGGGTCCCACCAGGTGTGCCAATTTGTTTACAGTGATTTCTGGTAAACAACCGCTAGTCCTCCAAACTATCGAATAATCTTAATGACTGTTATTCAATCTCTCTAGTAACTCGCAGGATCGACTAGATTGATCCTAGGATGTATTGGTCATTTGGATAACTCTCATTATAGAACTGGTATTCATGGTTGGTATTTAGAATGCTGTGTAGGTGTTTAACTTACTTCGATTACTCTATTAAAGATCTAAAGGCGTGATCAAGTAAATGCGCGCGAAACTAAATTGCATGAATAAAGTTCAATTGTAAAGACATGTAAAACTGTAGAAAAGACAAGTAAATGACTTCGAAGCATAAAAACATGTAATGTAAAAGATTCTCTGGAATGTAAAAGATTCGAAATATGAAGAAAGCGTTTAAATGCAAGAAAACAGTAAAATGACTTTAAGTGAAAAAAGGCGTTCGAATGATAAAAGCTTGAAGATAAAGGCATGTAATGTGCAAAAGTTTCTGAAATGTAGAGTACTTGAAATGGAAAGAAAGCATTTAAATGTAAGGCATCAGTAAAAGATTTCGAATGAAAACATTTTAGTGCAAAAGCTTTTGAATGATATTGACATGAAGATAAAGGAAAATACTGGAAATGATAAAGAGTTTGATTAAATCATAAATACTTGGTGTTATCATACGTACATTGCTCGTGCATTCGTTTCCCTAGCCATGTGGTATTTTGAATGTTTACTGAGTTTTTTGTACAATAGATATGACACACGAAATCCTAATGCTAAGACTTCTATTTATACTACTTCGACCATAACGGTCTTGTTATAAGATTCTGCCACGTTCAGAACATGCAAAGCAATGCCTCTCTCTAGCTTCAACGCGTCTTCGAATGCTCCAGCGCATATATTTTAAATTTCGAACATCCCGCTTATATTTGAATTTCAAATGTTTTGGCACTTCTTCGCTTCGAACGCATTTCTTGGACACAGCCTTGTTATCATTTCGAGACTTCTTTGAATATATTCTCATAACTGTCACTCGAAGCTCCAAGCTTTGATATGCCCATTCGAAGCACTGCTTCTACCATTTCGAAACATGACATCTTGCTTTATTCCAATCGAAACGTCCAATTTGCTTCGCTTCTAATAATATCATTAAAATCTTCAGCCAACACCTGTAATAATTCCTCAAATTGAAAAAAGAAAGATTCTATCTTGCTTAAAATTTACTCTTGAACTCAAATCTGGACTCAAAAAGGGAAAAAAAAGTTAGTGGAACGAGAGATTCAAATGCAAGTTCAATGGATGCCTTAACTATGGCACCTCACTATCTGCGTGTGCATTCTTTATACTAACCATCCATATTTATTCCAAACACGCATTAGAGTATAAATCGACAGTTACATGGCCTTGAAAACGCTTAAAACAAATAGTTTGAACTTAAGTTTTATATCTCAACCGGCGATGATGATTCTTCCTGATCTGGTACTTGCACCTTGTAGAAAAGGCTTGGGTCTGCTCCTTGGATACTCAGAAAGAGATTGCAATGCTTGACTTTGAGTGAAACTGACTGAGGATGATGATTCGATGGTTTGGTATCTTTGGAATTTTTCTCCTTCAAACCCTATTATTTCTTGTTGTAAAAACCACCCCCCTTGGTATGACTATGTTGAGCATATATAGAGTGTATTAGGTTAAGATTTTTATGGGCTTGGATCTCATAATTTAATGGATATCTTATTTAGTTTACTTTTGATTTTAAATTGAATAAAATCATAATAAAAGAAATAAAAGTCACAAAAAATATGTGGATAGGCTTAGAGGTTCCATAATGTGTTATGAACATGTTTGGACCTTGAAACAATAGCCCATTAGTCCAAAAATTCAAGTTTGGTCAATTTAGGTTTCATGCATTTTCTCAAAATTTCCCAACTTGCACCAATCATAACTCTCCCAATTTTTATCATTTGAAGGTGATCTTGGACTTTTTGGAAATATCAAGATGTCTTCTACAATCTCTATGTTGATTATTTTTGCATTTGAAGACTTTATCTTGATGTAAATTATCTTGATAAAAAGTGTTTTTTTGTTGACTTTTGAAATGACCTATAATATTTTGGCCCATATCTCTCAAATGAAACATTTTTTGGACTTTTGATAGATCGAACTAAACTCTTGATATCAAATATTAGAATTTGACACCACTAGATTGATAAATAATTAAGTGTGGAAAGAAACTAGATGAAAATTCTATATTGACATTAATCATCAATGAATTAACAAAAAGATATTTATACAACATACCATACCATGATTGAGATACAATTAACAAATTGCAAAAACTAAATTTTAACAGCAATAACAGTTACACTAAAGCTGTAACCAATTACAAATCGATTCTGCCCAACATACAATTTCAACTGCCTTTTATTGTTAACAAAATTAGTTGGCAATATTATGACTGATTTGTTAGATTAGTTAAGAATTTTATTATAAATTTCCCTTTACATGGTTATATTAATTCTTTTTCTTAATGAAAGAGATACATAACTAATAATGATCAACATTTTATTTGAACTTCTCTCTCAGCGAGTACCATCAACCAGATTCAACTTTAACAAAGGTTGGAACAAAATATTAAATCTCAAAGGGAAGAGCTACTATATCTAATGCTCAAATAATCACAAATAAGGTTATCTTTAAAAGAAACCTATGGATAATGAAATAATAAAAGAAAATTCATAGTCACAATTATATCTAATTTTTTGAATCCACAATCATTTTAACTGATAAAATTTGTTCTAAAAATCAAATAAGACTATTTTATACCTTAAGTTTTTGCTAAACACCGCGCTAGACTTAGACTAATTTTTTTAATTGTTTTATATCTTTAGAGTTTTTATATTCCAATATAAATATTGAAAAACTTATTAAACAAAACAAAAACAAATTAACAATCAACAAAGAGTCATGAACAACAAATTACCAAAAAAATTTTTTTATTATTTTGTAACTAGTGGTACATCATAATCCCAGCAAAACAACAAAAATGTCACAAATTCCACTATTTATTTTTTCAACATCCAGATAGAAAATTCAGTCCCCTAGTAGAGACTGTTTCAACAATGTTTTAGAGTTTTTTACTCCTCCATTCTGATGATACACCTAATAGACTCCCCTTTAAGCATGTAATCAAAAGCTTTGTTGATCTCTGAGAATGGTACTGTGTGAGTAATGAACTTCTCTAGCTCCAGCTCCTACAATATCACAGGAACATCACATTAGCAATACATCTCATATGAAGTAGTTACAAAATAGTCATTTGTGTGGCCTTATTAATAAACTTACTCCTTTCATGTACTTCTCTACAACAGTAGGAAGATCAGTGCGAGGCTTGTAGTTTCCATAGAAGGTGCCCTTAAGAGTCCTTTCATTCAAGAAATTCATAGGATGAGTTTTGAATGCATCATCTTTGTTTGGCACTCCAACAAGTACAGCAGTACCCCAACCCTTAGAATAATAACAAGTCAAGGTTCAGCATCAGTAAGTAGTATTAATATAAAAAATTTAGCAACAAATCATAAAAATAAAAAAAACAATGTTTTACTTACATCATGTACACATTCAAATGCTGAGATCATAGCTTGGAAGCTGCCGGTACATTCAACAGCGCGGTCTACACCTCCATTTGTCATTTCAGCAATTACCTGTTGTACAGGTTTGTCGTGATCTTTCGGGTTCACGAACTCATTCACTCCAAACTTCTTAGCTGTGAACAAGATTGATTATTACTAAAGTTAGTCCTTGAATTTATGTTGTTGACCAAAATCTTAAATCATTAGATGGAACACAGAAAGTGTTGTACCTAATTCAAATCGGCTGGAAACTAAATCAACTCCAATGATTCTTGATGCACCAGAGATCCTTGCACCTTCAGCAGCCTACATTATGGTTTAAAAAGAAGAGCAAAAATTAATATTGTCTCATTTCATTTCCAATCATAGCTGCAATGCAACACACACATGCAGAGAAAGATATAAGAGTAATAACATACAGCAAGGCCAACAGCTCCAAGCCCAAAGATAGCAACTGAAGAACCTGGCTTTGGTTTTGCAACATTCACAGTAGCACCAAGACCTATAAGCATCAATGGAAATTGAATTAGGAAATCACAGACCAAGCCTGGTAATATATAAATATCTGAAGCTAGGGATCTTGTATATATGTACCTGTGCATATTCCACAACTGAGAATACAAACTTTGTCAAGTGGTGCTTCAGGATTGATCTTTGCAACACATCCAGCATGAACCACTGTGTACTCACTGAATGTAGAGGTGCCCACAAAATGGTTTATGGGCTCTCCATTGATAGAGAATCTGGATTTGTTATCATTGAGCATGACACCTCTGTCAGTGTTGATCCTAAGAAGATCACACATGTTGCTCTCCTCTGACTTACAATGTGGACATTCACCACACTCCCCTGTGAATACTGGCAGGGCTTTATCCCCTGGTTTCAGATGAGTCACACCTTCACCTACGCTCTCCACAATCCTGATAAACATCATTCATTCACATTACATACTAAATTACTGATACACTAAATAATCAAGAGATTTTATCAGAAGAGAAGCATATACCCTCCAGCTTCATGACCAAAAATACGAGGAAACAATGGAGTCTGACCCTGAAACAGTGGCAAAAAAGAGAAAGCCATGTTAAGCTATTGCGATTCAAAACAACAGAAAGAAACAAAACACACTATTTTCATTATAATATACCTTAGCTTCCCAGAAGTAAACGTCAGTGTGGCAAAGGGAGGTGAAGAGTATCTTGAGACGAACTTCACCGGCCTGCGGTGGCGCCACCTCTACTTCTTCAATCACCAGTGGCTTCCCAGCTTCCCATGCAACCGCAGCTGCAATTGTAATATACAATGTAACAAATTGATTATTGATACTAGATGTAAAAAAACTAAAATAGTGAATAAATGTTGATACCTTTGCATTTGATGACTTGACCAGCAGTACTCGACATGATTAACAGAGATTGCAATAAACGAGTGAAAATTAAAGCAAACGAACAAGTTGTGAGTCCTTGTTGTTGGTGGTGTGTGTTTATTTATAGTGTAAGAAAAATCAACCAATGATGTTCCAAATGTAATAGAAGTAGGTACAAAACCATTTGCTGTTTTTTGTGTCCGTATTGCGCCTTTGGTTTTGGACACGTTGGCACACAGGTTGAATTGAATAAGAATGAGTAGAAGTTGAAAAGAGTATTTTCCATTTTAAAAATTTTCTTTTTCAGTATTTGACTACCGACTTCTCTAATTCGATTGTATCTTGTTTTTGTATGGAATTAATTTCTTTAGGAAAATACTAGTTGTCCAATAGCAGCTAGTTTCTTTATTTTCTTAGAGGAAGAGAAATGATTTTTTTAACACAAAAACAAGCATATGTAGCGTTATTAGTTTGTTTCAGTTTTTTAATGTTATAGTGTTTTAATTTTAAAAAAAATAGAATTTTTAAAATTCAAATAAAAAATTGGGTAAAATAGTTGTTTTTTTTTTTAAATATTAGGGTCACTGGAATATGAACACTAGTCAAATATTATTCTCATCAAAAATTAAAATCGATATTTCTCGAATATCGTTCTTTACAAGAAATCATTTACGACTGGAGTCTAAGTGTTTGGTTCAAAGATATTATTTTAGATAATTTATTCTTTTTATTATAATTTTATTTTACTATCAAAAAATTTCACAAAAAATTTTAAATTTAAAGAAATTTTGAATTGATTTTTATTTAAAAAATTCAAATATATTTATTTTAAATATAATTTTGACTATGCTTTAATTTTTAATAATAAATATTTATTTTATTTTATGTTAAAATTAGTCTCTAAATTTATTAAAAATCATTTTTGTAAAAAATTATTTAAAATAAATTTTACCATTAATGATATTTTTTTCAAATTTTAAATAATATTTATATATTAAATATTATTTTTATAAAATTATAACAAATTAAAAAATCAAAAAAATAATTGGTTAATTTTTTTTCATAAAATACTATTTTAAATTTTAGATATAAAATACTATTAGTCTTAAAATTTATTTAGAAAAAATTAGAAAAAGTAAGTTTTACTATTATTGAAATTTCTTTATTAAAATTATTTTTTTAATTAGAAAAGAAATCTCTTTTTTAAAATCAATAGAAAACATACCCATAATATATACACTAAATACGTATTTATATTTTTAATAATTCTTTACTTCACAAGTGCAACACTAAAACAACAGGTAATATATGTCTCATTATATATGATGTTCTAATTAACTATGATAAAATGGATCGTTCGTTCGGTTATGTTTCACTCTGTTATGTGTCATTCCGTTTTAAACTCGTTAAAAAAAATAGAGTAGACAAATTCGTCAAATAAAAATAAATATAAAAGTCTATTTTATTTTGTCGAGGTGGCGGGCTTGTTCGCTTACTTTTTAATTTATTTTTTTAATATATTAAAAGACTTTTTTTTAACTTCAATTAGATTTTTATTTATTTTTTTAAAATAATTTTTTATAAAGTATTTTTTTAACAAAATTTACTTAAAAAATATTGTTTTATTCAGAAATAAATATATAAATAAAATCATCAAAAATTTGACCTACTAGAATTAACAAAAAAATAACAGATTTAAAGTCGGATAAACTAAACGAATAAGTGCGACGGGATTTGACGGACGAAGGGTTTTTGCGAGACTTGCAGCAGTCTTTAGTGGGACAAACATTGATAGACGACAGGTACAAAATCTCAATCCAACCTATCATTTTTAACGGGTGTACGTGCCGATCCGACGCACCATGACCCATTTTACCACCCCAATCTCAATCATACTTGTGTATTATATAGCTAGTTGTAGAGGAAATAATTTAATTAGTGTTATTTGTATTTATGGAAATTCAATTTCTATAAAATATTAAGTGGTAATCTATATTCACTCGTATTAATTATTTACTTACTTAAAATAATTAGGAGATGGTCCGTGCGTTCTTATGGGTGCCTCTAATTATATCTTAGATCATTTGATAAAGTTTGATCAGTCAAAAAAATAAATTTTATAGTGATAGTGACTCGCGCACCCGCACAGATAAATTCAATTATATCTTTTATTTGATAAAGTTTGATCACTTAAAAAAACTAAGTATTATGATGTTAACGATTCGTGAAATTAAAAGTTTAATTATATTTATTAAAGTATTATAATAAAATATTTATGTATTTACTATTAATATTATTATAATATAAATAATTATTGTATAAAATACAATTAAATGCAAATTTAAATTTGAAATAAATTATTTAATTATAAAATAAATAATTATTATATAGACTCAATTACATTAACCAAATAAAATTGAGATCAAAATTATTATGGTAATAGTGACCCGTGAAAATATTAAGTTTTAATAATAAAATTTACAGGAGATAATATAATTTAATTCAATATACAATATATTTAATTACACATATAAATTTAAAATTAATTGTAGAAGAAACACTTTATATGAAGGAAGAAAAACATAGACAATATATTAAAAAAATAATTGGGGAAGCTTTCTACTTACTTTTGGCCTTTTTTTTCAAGTTCTTCGTGTCTCATCTAACTATGATTATAGCATTTCATATATACAACTAATAAAAAATTAGAGCAAGTGGCCTTAACTCATCCACACAGATCTAAACAATTTCCTATAAAAACATGGAAACGTGATTTTCCAGTTTATGCACCAAGAAAATTGAGAAACAACCTACACCAACAAAAGTGATGTATGTGCTTTCAAGAAGTGACATTGATGACATTAACTTTGATGGTGAAAGTTTTCACAATCATTTTGAGTGTTGGATGGTTGAGCAAAACAAATATCTGGATGAACTTGTAGCGGAGAATTCAGCTCAACCTCAGTTCACAGATGATATAATGCATACCCTAATTGATAAGGTTGTTTAGCATCATGAGTATTTCTATAGAGAAAAGGCTCGGTGTACAAAGAAAGATGTTTTTTCCATGTTTTCACCATCATGGTTAAGCTCTTTAGAAACAGCTTTTCTTTGGATCGGTGGTTGGAGACCAAGCATGACATTTCATTTACTATATTCAAAATGCAGTATGCAGTTTCAAGCTAAGCTGAATGAACTTATTCAAGGACAAAAAACATGTGACCTGGAAGATCTCTCAGCGTTTAGCTCGCGAGTTTGATGGTTTGCAAAGGAGGACTATTAGAGAGGATAGGGAAATCACTAATATGATGGCCGAGCATCAGGAAACAATGTCGATGCTTCGATGGTGGAGTTGTCTCATGTGATTTCTGAAATAATTGGTAGACCAATATATTATTGGGTAAACGGTTTCCAACTTTCTTGTCTTATTCATGAGTCCATGTGCCATATATAGGCTTCAAGGAATGTACAATACAAATAAATGGGCCAAAACTAACTAGGCCCAACAAGCCTAATACATAACAAAACTCTCCCTTAAGTTGATCTTTATACAACAAATGATCAACTAAGCCAACAAGAGAGACAAAAGAATAAGAAACAAAACAAAGCAGAACAAAACAGGAACAACATCATATTGACATAAACAACAGCATATCAACAGATCACATAATGTTGGTTGAGTCACACATTCCTAAGCCCTCCCTTAGTTTGAAAAAGGCTTCAACCTTTAGAGCCTTAGTCATAATGTCTTCTAATTGATCTTGTGATTTGCAAAATTTTAATTCAACAACTCTATCATTGCTAAGTTCTCTCAGAAAATGATATCTTACATCTATATGTTTTCATCTTCCATGCAAAATGGGGTTCTTGGGTAGCTTGATCGAGGAACTGTTGTCACAGTTAATAGTAGTGCATCCGTTTTGCTTCAGATCCAAATGATTTAACACATTCCTCAACCAAATACATTGACAAGCACTAGAGGTAGCTGACACAAACTCAGCTTCAATTATGGACAATGTGATAATGGACTGTTTTTTTGATGACCAACATACTGCACTTAGTCCCATAGTGCAAACATATCCAGATGTGCTTTTTCTATCATCATAATCACATGCATAGTCAGAATCAGTCCAGCCCCGCATTATCAAATCACCATTATCTTCTCTTTTGTACAAAATGCCAAAACTCAAAGTTCCCTTCAAATATCTGAGAATTCTTTTGACAGCGGCAACATGCATTTCAGTAGGTCTCTCCATGTATCTTGAAGCTAAGAAAACTACAGAGGTCATTTCAGGTCTTGTAGATAACAAATACATTAGGCTGCCAATCATCTTCTTGTACACTGTAGCATCTGTAGCCTTTCCTTTTTCATCTTTCACAAGCTAGCTTCTAGGAACAATAAGACTGATGACTTTATTGCATTCTTCCATGCCAAACCTTGTCAGAATTTCAGAGGCATATTTTTTTTTGATGAATGAATATTCCTTGATCACTTTGATTGACCTCCACTCCCAAAAAATACTTCATTTTTCCTAAGTCAGTCATGAAAATTTTACTTTTCATGGACTGTTTGAATGCATCCCTCATTTCTTCATCATTGTTAGTGTAGATAAGATCATCTACATACAAGCTAACAATTAGAATACTTCCTTTTGTTCCATGTTTGACAAGCAGGGTTGGTTCATGTGAGCATTTCACAAATTGTTCTATGTTAAAGTAAGATTCAATCTTACTGTATCAGGCTTTGGGTTCCTGCCTTAACCCATATAGAGCCTTTCTCAGTTTGTAGACTTGATTATTTTCACCTTTGTGATACCCCAATAGTTGTTGCACATACACATCCTCAATTAGGTCCCCATGCAGAAAAGCACTTTTTATATCTAATTGAAATACACATCAGTTGTTGTGTGCTGCCAAAGCAAGAATTGCTCTTATAGTATCCCACCTTGCCACAGGGGCAAATACCTCACTGTAATCAATTCCATACTTTTGTGTGTATCCCTTTGCAACCAGCCTTGCTTTGTATTTCTCCACTTG